TCACCGACCAATCGGAGGGCGCTGCATTTGCCGATCGCTATGCGCATTGGGAATGGTACGTCACAGGTTTGGGTTACATTATTGTATCTACGTATGCAGTAGTACTGTACTACTGGTTCAATAAACTTACTTTAGTCAGTGATCGAACTATCACTAACACTAAGAGTAGCATGGGCATTGTCACGTTTGTGTGGCGAGTAATCACTCGGTGCTTTGGTTAAGCCTTATAACTATAAGGTTAACAAGAAAAGATCAAGGTTATACTTAGCTCTAGTACTATAGCCCGCTTACATTAACCTGCGGCAGTTAATGTAAGCGGGCTATAGTACTAGAGCTAGGTTATACTAATACTAATGCTGAGAGGGTCTATGTCCCCCAGGGTACTGCCAGAACGTACCCTGGGTACGGTCCGGTATACCGGGCCGTACCCTGGTACTAAATATTACTATCTAATATGCCGTTCCGTACCTCGCCTTCTCCATTAACGAGTCTAGGGAGTCGCCTACGCCTACTCCCTAACCCTAACCCTAACCCTATCCCTAACCCTAACCCTAACCCTAACCCTAACCCTAACCATAACCCTAACCTTAACCATATCAGCTAGATAGTTACTAGGGTACGTTCCGGTAACACCGGACCGTACCCAGGGTACTTTCCGGCAGTACCCTGTGGGACATAGACCCTATGAGCAATACTAATAGCAAAGATGGCTATAATTCAACCATATCAGATATACCCGAATAGCGATAGCGTGCCAAGACACATCTATACAAATGTACATTGTCTTAATTTACTCTTGAGTCCTGGTATTTAATCCAGGTAATTTACTCCTGGTACGTCTCGTAAAAAACTTGGCAATTGACAGACAAGTAGTACCAGTGGCAGTACAGGCTCTATGATATCCTCTCTCGTCATAGTAGCTTACTATAGGGCTCATAGGGTCTATGTCCCTCAGGGTACTGCCGGAACGTACCCTGGTAACTATTTGATATGGTTAGGGTTAGGGAGTAGGCGTAGGCGACTCCCTAGACTCGTTAGTGGAGTAGGCGAGGTACGGTCCGGCATACAGTAAAAACCCGCGTATAAGAACATAGATTTTAAGAACATGTTAGGCTAAAATTTCCCATTTAGACCCCTTTACATAAGAACCTGTTTTAGGCTAAGATTTTAAAGTAGGTTCTTAATTTTCCATGCAGATGAAGACTTAAAAAGAAACACAGGTAAAATAAAAAAGACGAGCTCAACAATATCGATGCAATAGCAATGCCAATGCCAATGCCAATGCCAATTTGCTCAACAATAACAATGCCAGCACCCTGGCATTGTTATTGAGACACAGTACTGCATTATTTACATATACAGTAAAAACCCGCATAAAAGAACACGTCGATTAAGAACACTCAGGCTGAAATGCGGTCAACAAATTGCATATACATAAGAACACATTCAGCCTGAAAAATAAAAATTGTTCTTATATAAAAAAAACAACATGTGCAACAACTAAACTCTCCATATAACACCTTATACACATAACACTACTGTACTGGTAACACATGCATCACAGCCACTAAGCCCGCGCGTAGCGCGGGTTTCAGCTAGTACATATTAAAAGTAGAAACAATTAAGAACCTATTTAAGAACCTTTTGAGCCTAATTTTTCAGTAAGCACCATTTATATAAGAACATGTTGAGGCTAACTTGGAAAAATATATGTTCTTATACGCGGGTTTTTACTGTATTAGATAGTACCAGGTTACGTTCCGGCAGTACCCTGGGGGACATAGACCCTATGAGCAATAGCAATAGCAAAGATGGCTAATTCAACCATATCAGATATACCCGAATAGTGATAGCGTGCCAAGACAGATAGATCTATACAAATGTACATTGTCTTAATTTATTTTTGCCTTACTAGGTTTACTGAGTTCAGTGCATGCATGCATTGAGAGCTATTTTGATGAACAACGGTGATGCAATTCTGTCATTTTCAGAATACACAAGATGGGAGGTGTGAACACGAAGGAGGTAGTTGAGGCACTTGATGCGACAGATAGCAGAACAACGCCTCCTCACATGGGAAGAAAAACAATCCTCAGCACAGATCCAAGATCACCAACTGAGGAGATATGTCGAACACCAATAGTAGTAAGCATATTTACGTAAAGGTTGTTATCAATCTTTATAGAAGAAATTCCTTCTATAAATGGGTATGTTTGTGGGTACATGGTTGCGTGCATCTGTGGGTGAGTGCATGCATGAGTGTGTGTAGGCCTACACAACGCATGCGTGCGTGCACACCCGCCTGTTATCGGCTCCTGTCTCTCAGCTTGAGCGTGCCCGTACGCGTGCGCGGTAGATGCAGTATAAAGTACAGTGTGTTGAAGTACGGTACTGATATATCGACCCTCTCGATCGAGCCTTCCTGAAGGACAGGCATCAAGGCCCCGAAGGTCGCGCACGGTATTGGCGGGCAAAATACAGGCTGTGGATGTCTGTTTGGCTATTATAAGTCAAGGTACCGAGGGACTTTGTCAAACTTTTGTAACTTTTCCAGTAGGCAAGATGAAATTGGGAAAAACAACTCTATTATCGGCTCTATTCCCCCTTCCGGCTCTCCTCCATGAAATATTCCCGTTCTTCTATTTCTATGCATTTTCTTTAAACGATCATACAAAATACATATAGACATAATATTTAACTTTCTACCACAAAAAGTGGGGGGGCCCGGCCCCCCGCCCCCGTTAACGCGCCGCCCCTGGTAAACACTATCAAAAAATCTAATCCTTATATATATAAATCAGTGAGTAAGATACCTTTATCTACTCCTGATATAATACTATCCACGATGCAGGATGCCGCTGGAATGAATTTACGATGGCTACGATGATTGGACAGTTTTTGTCCAATCACAGTGCAACACAAGGTGACGTTGTTTAACATGAACGTGAACTTGCCTTGCCACTGTCTGATTTCATGAAATACCATTTTTACCACTGTTGAGCGTACGTATCGTGACACACCGTTATTATGAAACTGGCGCGGAATTTTGTTTGTGAACGAGTAGTGAACTTATGTACGATTCTTCGTCGCGTGTGCTGTTATGAATAGATGTATATTACTGGTGGTGTGCTCGTGGTGTGAGTGTAAATAAGCGCCTGCTAATCTGTACCATATCAAAATCCAGAAGTCATCATAATCATAGTCAATCATCATAAATCTAAAGTGTAAGTAAAAATAAAACCTATGCTATGCCTATATGGTAAAACTCGTTTAGCGACTAGAGTACATCCGTAGCTGAGCTGTGTGCTTGGCCTATCACTAGTATCAGTAAAACATTGCGCAACTTTTCATGGAAATTCATACCAATTGCTCAACTTCCTGAATATGTATATGGTATACCGTATCATATGCAGTAGATACAATAATGTACCAACACAGTTAGGTGGTAGCGGTTAACGCGTCGCTATTGGTTTTCTGTGGAGGAAATTCACGCGGAACCGCCTGAGTGGTGCGTTTGCAGAGACTAGAACTTCCAAACTGGTGTTTATTCTCAACACGAACCTTCTCCGTATCTTGGACTTACTATTGTATCACCAGATACTCTGTATAACTAATATAACTGTTACAAAAATTCAAGTGCCGAGCGGCGAATACCAACTGGAAGCGTCATTTCTGTGACCTGTGACGTACTTCGGTTTGAAAGAGCGGATTCACCAACCCAATCGGGAGGCGCTGGCATTGCAACACACACACACATACACACACAAACGAACAAACAACACACACACACACACATACACACACAAACGAACAAACAACAAACACACACACACAAACACACGTACATAGATTTATACATGCATACATACATGCACGCACATGCCAAATTGGACAACCGTACGTTTGGCACGTGCTGTAGGCATGCCAGTGCTAGGGGGGTCTGGGGGCATCCCCCCCCCCAGAAAATTTTGAAATATTTAAGCCATTTTCCTGCAATCTGAGGCATACTGTGGGCCATATTCTCATGTCTAATGACACTATCTCAACCCTAGACTCAACCCTACAAGTTAGGATTCAAAACACTTTTCATGACTTTTCAGAGAGCGTACACAGTTAGGTTACTATAGTAATAATACATGTATTAAAACACAGGTAAGAATTGCAATTTCTCACAATTTCACGTGATTTTGTATGTTTGCAACCATACTTTTTGGCTATTTGTGAGTCTGGAAACATTTTCTTGAAGAGTTTATTAATTTGCATGGTCTGCCCCCCTCAAAGGCACATTGTGTTCAATTAAATAATCCGTAAATCTCACTTCTGCGTCAAGACAGACAATTCTCTATCTGCTGCAAAGAAGCTTGATATATTGGGTGTAGATTCCACTGCACCCGCATAGCACTTGTACTTTTGAGAGACTATATGCTTCTGGCAGTCACTCCTTCCTCCGTGCCCCACTTGAAAGTCTGTCTTGCATACCATGCAATAGCCACGATTAACACTGAATTGTACTGTAGGCTATACAGTTTTACATACATTTAAAAAACTCATTTCTCATGCATTATGCTAAAATTGAAACAATCACATTTCTTTCTTTTTTCTTCTTCTTCCTTCTTTCTTTTTTTCTTTTTTTTTGAATCTCAGGAGGGGATATTTGTACAGGCCATCCCCCCCTCCTTCAAGAGTGGAGGGGATGCATCCCCCCATCCCCCGGGATTTACGCCCCTGGTGCGAATCACTTAAAGAGCGCGCGGAGCGCGCTTCCTAGGGGGTGGGTGCAGGGAGGGGGGAGTTTCCCCCCTCCCGCGCGAAGCGCGGAAGCTCTGACGTTTCATTAAATTATTAGAGAAAGAAGACAATTCGTTGTACCTTTCTCGACTCTTAATCCTAAATTTTCAAAAATAATATTGGATTTATTGTTAAACAAGATTTCGATTTTGTTTAGGATATCTTCGGAAAAAGATCGAGCATCATGCATGTGATAAATATATTGACGTTTAAATCAACCAATCACCAAACAATCAGCATTTCATCATAAGATTTCCATAATTGCTAGCAGGACAATACGAATAAAGAAGTAAGTAAAGAAATAAGAATAAACAAGTAGCACGTAGAGAACCCGACCCGCTGTACACAAAATATCCTTAGAGCTCAATAGTCATATTATTGTGTAGGAACGCATGATATGTTATGCCGAGCTGGATGAAAGGCGAACTGCGCTGGGCTCAAAGCTCATTTCACAAAATATTTTTAAATAATTAAAAGATATCTGTTGTTTCTTTTATAATCTTTTTAACACAGTCTTTGTCATTTGTCGTTCTGTTATCGGCTCCTGTCTCTCAGCTTGAGCGTGCCCGTACGCGTGCGCGGTAGATGCAGTATAAAGTACAGTGTGTTGAAGTACGGTACTGATATATCGACCCTCTCGATCGAGCCTTCCTGAAGGACAGGCATCAAGGCCCCGAAGGTCGCGCACGGTATTGGCGGGCAAAATACAGGCTGTGGATGTCTGTTTGGCTATTATAAGTCAAGGTACCGAGGGACTTTGTCAAACTTTTGTAACTTTTCCAGTAGGCAAGATGAAATTGGGAAAAACAACTCTATTATCGGCTCTATTCCCCCTTCCGCTCTCCTCCTGTATTCCCTTTTCTATTTCTTGCATTTCTTTAACGATCATACAAATACATATAGACATAATATTATTTCTACCACAAAAAGTGGGGGGCCCGGCCCCCCGGCCCCCCGTTACGCGCCGCCCCTGGTAAACACTATCAAAAAATCTAATCCTTATATATATAAATCAGTGAGTAAGATACCTTTATCTACTCCTGATATAAATCCTATCCACGATCAGATGCGCTGGTAATGATTTACGATGGCTACGATGATTGGACAGTTTTTGTCCAATCACAGTGCAACACATAGGCTTGACGGTGTGTTTAACATTTGAACGTGAACCCTGCCTTGGCCACTGGTACTGATTTCATGAAATACCATTTTTACCACGTTGGTACGTATGTGAACGACCGTTATTATGAAACTGGCGCGGAATTTTGTTTCCGGTGACCACGGCAAGTATGCAGGGAACTATGTACGATTCTTCGTCGCGTTGTGCTGTTATGAATAGATGTATATTACATGGTGAGGGGTGTGACTGCGTGTGTGTGTGTGTAAATAAGGCCTGCTAATCTGTAGCCATAGTCAAAGTCAAAGTCATCATAATCATAGTCAAGTCATCATAAATCTAATTGTGTAAGTTCAAAAACTAAAAGAGCCTATCTGATGCCTATATGTGAAAACTCGTTTAGCGACTATGAGTACATCCGTACTGCTGAGTCCTGAGCTGTGTGCTTCGGCCTATCACTGGCTATCAGTAATAAACACTTGCCGCAACTTTCATGCGAATTTCATACCAATTGCTCAACTTCCTGAATATGTATATGTAGTGACCGTTATCATATGCGAGTAATACAAATAATGTTAACCAAACACAGCTTAGGGTGGTAGCGGTTACAACGCGTCGCTATTGGTTTTCTGTGGAGGAAATTCACGCGGAAGCCTGAGTGGTGCCGTTTGCAGAGACTAGAACTTCCAAACTGGTGTTTATTCTCAACACGAACCTTTCTCCGCGTATCTTGGACTTACTATGTATCACCAGATACTCTGTATAACTAATATAACTGTTACAAAAAATTCAAGTGACGAGCGGCGAATACCAACTGAGCGTCATTTCTGTGACCTGTGAGCGTTACTTCGGGTCTTGAAGAGCGGATTCACCAACCCAATCGGAGGCGCTGGCATTGCAGATCGCTATGGCGCATGGAATGGTACGTCACCAGGTATCTGGGTTACATTATTGTAGTCTACGTATGCGAGTAGTACTGTACGGTACTGCGTGTCACATAAACTTACTTTTAGTCAGTGCATCGGAACTATCCACTAACCACTATCGAGCGTTAGCATGGGCATTGTCACGTCCTTGTCAATGGTTTGAGCCGAGTTAATCGACTCGGTCGCTTCTTGGTTACAAGCCTTTCTTATAACTATAAGATGTTAACAAGAACAGATCAAGGTGCGTATACTTAGCTCATAGGTACTATACAGCACCGCTATCACATTAACCTGCCCCTACGAGGCCAAGTCTA